TACATACATACATACATTACATACATCCATACATACATACATACATAACATTGCATTGCATTGCATTGCATTGCATTGCATTGCTTTGCATTGCATTGCATTGCATTACATTACATTACATACATAGATACATGCCATTACATACCATTACATACCATTACATACCATTACATACCATTACATACCATACCGTACCATACCATACCATACCCTACCGTTACCGTTACCGTTACCGTTACCATCACCATCACCATCACATCACATCACATTACATTATATTACATTACATTACATACATACATGAATATATCTAGATACATATATATATAGATATATATTATGTATATGTATTCTACATACATCTGCTTATTTGCATTTTTTGCAAAGGCCGCTTGTGTAGGCCTAGTTACACAAGAGCCTTTCTGTGAGAATGTGGCAAGGACGAATGCGAAGGTACACTCAGAAATGCCAAGCTTCGCAAACAGCACTGAGTTCGAAACATTTCCCATGTGCAACGGAAAGGCCAAAGAAACATTGGAGTTCACCCATCGAATGCGCCTGACAAAAAAAAGATGTGTGTTCGGTGCCAAGTGAAAATTCATCAAACATTCAATGAAATATGGGAAAAATAAAAAAAACATTGCATGAACATGCATGAACGCTTCATATTCACTGCCTCATCAGATTTCCGATCTGATGCGCAACTTTCTCACTCGCAGCTCCACGGCCGCTGAGGAGAATCTTCCTTCCAAGTTGGCGTTGCAAAACCCAAATTCTTCAGGTAGAAATTTGGACATGCTCAGGTCATCTCAGGTCATCTCAGGTCAATATGGAATCTGATTTGATCTTAGATATCTTTGGTGTATGGTAATTGTATGGCGATGTTTGGGAGGTAGCAACTTTGGAGTTTCCACGTCCAGAGTCAGCACATCGAACCTGCTGGCGTCTCCGATCAGGTGATTGGGCTTGTCCACCATGTCAGCATTCTCAAAAATGTCCTTCGAGTTGATCAAAATTGGCTGATTCATTTGGCTGAAACTGTCCTGTCTATCCGATATATCCAGTTTCAGCTCTAAGGAAGCCTTTTCAGATTCTGGAAGCCGCAGCATGTTTCCAAATGATGTCAGAAAGACACAAGGGAGGCACAAGCAGATGCAAGCAGTATCTAGTGAATCTAGTGCAGCTACGAGGCCTTCAAGAGCTGTAGTGCGATTGGCTCAGACAGTTTGGCAAGACCACTTCCAATCTTGTCCAGGTCAATCTCAGAGCAGAGCTTACCAGACGCGTTCAATTTCAGAACGCGATTACGGACCGACTCTGTGAGGTCTGGAACATCGCCCTTAGCAAAGGACATCGGGACAGCTCACTGCCAAGTCTTCTCTTGCAAGTTGCGCTGCAAGGTGCAATCCGCGGGCTGCTTGCAACCAGAACGTCTGATGGTTCTATGATTCTATCTTTTTCCGGGATAGGGAGGAAAAATGTGTGTATGCTGTATGTGCGTATACCGTACGGACTGGTTTCTGCATATGCTGGCATATGCTATCTCATGCCTCAACTTGGCCTCCTTGCCGCACATCCTTGCTAACCTCACCTGCACCCTCCCTCATTCTTTCCTTTTGTTTTATTTGTTTCCTCTTCCTTTTTCTTCCTTTCTCTTTGCTTGGCCTTCTTCTCCTTCCTTTTGTTCACTTTTGTTTTCCCTTTTTCAGCTATTATATGCATGTTGCTTTTGGTGCTGAATTGATTGTAGAAATCAAAACATAACTTAGATCTCAACTTTCTTCCTGGAGCTTCGAGCTTGCCCACTACAACTGTGCTATTGAGTTATTGTCGCTACTGTTTGTCCTCCTGCTACTGCTTCTACTGAGGCCCGATTCACATGGTTTGCCAAAGTTTGCATGGCATGCATTCGTGCCTCGTATCCTTCAGAACATGCCGGATGCATGAATACGTATCAAATCGTATAAACACAAGTTGCAAAGCAATCAGCCCATTGAAAGCATTTCTGAGTCATGGGCATCATCTTTCCAGTCCTCCTTGTTCCAGTCCTCGCCCTCCTCTGTTTTCTCACCCCACTTCTTGTCGTTCCAGCCACCTGATTCCTGATTCCATTTCCCATCTTGTGACTCCTGAAGCAAAACATGGATTCCTTGCATGTGGGTATGAGAATGTATCCAAAGCCATGTCAAGCCTGAACTAATGAATAATTCTGAATAATTCTGAATAATTCTGAATAATTCTGAATAATTCTGAATAATGAAATTGCCACTGATGGATACCGATGGACCATGACCAGCCATGACCAACCTGCTGTGGGGGATCTTCTGGCTCGGGCACTGGTTCGGCTTCAATCTCCACTTCTTGCTCTTGATCTTCCTTCTGAGCTTTCTTGGTCGCCTGTGCTTCCAGCACATTAAGAGCATCCAATGAGCATCCAAGAATACTTGCAGTAAGTCTCTGTAGGTTGTGAACAAAGAGGACAGTGAAATGAAATGGTCATCAAATGGAACAGAAATTTGTTTCAGTCCATCACTTCCTGTGCTTCAGAACTTTAAATTGAGTGTATCTCATGGTGTTGCATATGGTGAGTACTGAAGGGGCCGCTCTGTCCCAGCATAGTCTGCCTCGATGACAGCCATAGTGGGATCTTGCTGTGCTGATTCATCTCCCCCTTCAGCTGCATCTACCACACTTTGGAGAACCTCCAAGGCCTTCGCCATGGGTAGTTCCGAGAGCTTGCGGGCAACGGCTCCGAGTCGAACATCAGTCAAAAACGTGCCCAGTGCGTTGAGCTCTCTGACCTTCTCGGAGACTTGCTTGTTTAGCTTAACCGTCGCCATGGCAACAGCGACGGCAGCAACAGGCGGACAAGACGCTGTTGATTCCCCTGATCTTTTTGTGCCACCTTGATGCTATCAAGCGTTTTTGTCATGGATTGCAAGTGTTGTTGCATCTTAGCTGGACATTTGAGAAGTGGAACTTGTTGCCCAGACCTGTCATCCTGTGTGTGTGTGTCTGTCTTTCACCTCCTGCTTGGTCTATCATGATTTATCTTTGGTCAACCTTCAGCCAGCAGCAAGCGGAAAGTCATGTCCACATGCACCAAATTGACATACTGTCTAGCCCTTTACACAATAGCTACCAGCTACAGTAGCCCAAGGCGTGTTTGGCTTCAATTGCACGTCTTTGGGAAAGTTGAAGCTTTGTTCCATCGAATAGGCAAATTACCACTGAAATTCTGCCTGGTACGCTGCAGCATGCATGTGCTCACCAGTTGCTAAAATGCGCAAATATTTTTGGCACTTGTTTCCCCCCTCCGCAGCAACAATGGAAACGCTTGAATTCTGCGAAAGAATGCCATCCCGAAAGATGGAGCGCAATATATACACATGCTTCCACAGCAGCTCCGCGTTCGCACAGACTCAGCCATATCTGGTCCTCAAAGCCACAGCATGCCACAGCATGCCACAGCATGCCACAGCCGTCTAGCCTTCTTCGGATTTCGGATACGAGCGGCTCAAGCCCTTGGAAGCCGACCCTCTGCCCAAAACACAATGAGACTCGTCTGGATCAGATTTCCACGGAACACTGCCTAAAGTTTTTTAGTGATACAAAGGGCTACTGCAGACCAAGCAATGTATGTAGGACAATAGTGGGAAATTGCCTCGAAGTAAAGTAAAATGGCTGCAAATCTGATGCAACATGTTCTTTTAATCAGTGACGGGCAGAAATCTTGGGCTAACGGAGTCCGGCAAGCTAGGCAAAGCTATGCAGTGGGAAACATTAAAGGATTGATCTCACTTGATCTGCATACTGAGATTTGGCTATGGTACAAACGTCCTGCTTGCATCGCAGTCAGGTACTGCTTCAGAGTGTCTCGGGTTCATCCTCATCCATGTCTGCTTCGGTTTCCTGTCTTGCAATCTTTTGCAAAGTGTTACACAGGCTACAAAAGTTCAAGGGCTTCAGAGTGTCACAGTGCCATGTTTTGCTGCATGTAGCAAGGGGAGTCCTCCCTCAAGCGAGCAGACATATGGGACAGGAACCGCGCCTAGGCTCTCAAACGACAAATAGGCCAAATAGGTCAAAGATATTCAAAAATGAGATATACAAAAGAAATATATACAAAAATATATAATCGAAGGAAGTTTAGAAGCTAAGCTTCCGACAATATGGACAGATGGAAAAGCAAGTCAGAAGTGAGAAAGTCAGATGTGAGAAGAGAAGAGAGGGAGAAAGTCAGAAGTGAGAAGATGCAGGTGCGCGAAAAGGTAGGAAAGTCGCGAAACACCGTGTTTTTCCAATGTTTTGTGGCTCCGGAGGGTCGAAAAGTAGGCTCGCTAAAGCGGCGGGTGCGGAGACATCTGGGCAGTTGAGAGATGAAAAGTTGCACGCGCGTGTGGCGCGAAGCACATTTTGAAGTGAAAAGTGGCAAAACACACCATGCTCGGACCACTTTTGGAAGTTGAGATGTTGAAAAAGTGCACGCGCGTGTGGCGCGAAGCACATTTTGAAGTGAAAA